GGAGAGCCAGTGGAAATAGACCCATACTGAGATGGCTTAGCACAGTGGCAGCATCAGTGAGCTCAAACACACAATTGTGAAGCTGGCATGCAGGGCTGGGCAGTGCTTTGTTGTGATATTGCTGTGAGTCCGAGCCAACTAGATGGCACCTAACAACATATCACCAGGCCCTTCTTCTGAGATCCTTCTGTGTGACTGGAACTGCCCATCTGTCAGTTAGCAGTCCAATGTGGTCATTGTTTGCAGCACACAGGGATTCCTCAGTGAGTGCACAATATAATAATTACCAGGAGAGGAAGGACCACTTCAAAACAGGTTGTGTGCACGGACAGGGATGCTCACTGTAGTGTTGTTTATGACAAAAACGTGGAGACAATGTAATGGTGCCTTATTCACAGAGGAGGAGCATGTATGAGGAGGAGTGAGTGGGTCAGTTAGGATACATGTGCTCAGTGGGATATTAAGTAACTGTTTGAAGGAATAAAACAGAACGAAATGTCTAAAAAAATATATGTGTAAGAAAAGTTAGGTGGCATGGTGTTGTTAATGTAAAAAGGAACACACACACACACAGTACATCTATCCATAAAACATTTTTAGATGTAAGTACAAGAAATTTAGTATTGGTTATCTCTGGGGAGTGGACGAGAGTGGCAGGTTTTATCTTGAAGTTTTCTTTTATTGGTCTTTTTTTTTTTTTATCACAGTTTATTTTCATTTAAAAACAAAGCAATAAAAACAACTTAAGACAAGCTATCTTTGGATAGCTATGAGAAAAGCTAACTTTGGACAATCCCCCTCCCAGGGTGGGCTGGGAGGTGGAGGGGAGGATTGAGGTAACTTGAAGGCACCCATTTCCCTTCACCATGTGGTTCTTGGCTCTCTACTCACAGTCCCCGGGCCAAACCAAACAACCTTTTAGCTCTGTCCCATGAGGTGGAGACTGGCCGGGGCATGAGAATGTTCTGAATCACAGCCCTGAGTGACTTATGTTAGGACTTCCTGGACATTCACTGACCGCTGGCCACAGTTGCCACCAAGCCCACTTTGGAAGCCAGCCATATACCTGATAACACCCAACACAGAGCTGACCACATAGTTAAGGACTCCATAGTTTGGGGGCCAGTCAGGTGACTGTCTCACTCAAACACCGCCACTGGCTCACCACTGCTTATTGTATGAAGTCCAAGTGTACTGTAGTTCAGCATTTAAGCCTTTCTATAGCTCAGCGTCTCCAACTACTCAGCCTTAGTTACTGATTCCTCAGCGTCGACAGTTGTGCTTTGGCTTTGCCACCTACCACTGTCATCTTGGACATGCCATGTAAGCACCCTGCGCCCCCCTTTCCTCATCCGGGAGGTCTGAGTGGGGTTAAATGAGCTTGTATATGTGAACGTCCATAGCAGGCTGCCTGGCACATGGTGGGTGCACTGCTCCACCCTTGGTCTATGGTTCTGACTGAAATGCTTGTCGGGGTCACAGTACGCCCCATTGTGCACAGCCTGAACCAGGCAGTACCCCCACTATGTTGCTAAGTGCCTTTGAGTCGGTTCTGACTCATAGCAACCCTGTGCAGGGTTTCCAAGGAGCGGCTGGGGAGTTTGAACCACCGACCTTGTGGTCTAGTGCTTTATCCCACAGCTCCAGACGGCTCCCAAATTGCACTCAAACGTTAGTGGTTTATGGATTTTCAGATTCACCTGGGTAACGTGGCAAGATGCAGATTCCTGCACCCAAGTTCTAGCGAGTCCACCGAGTCTGTGTGGCCGAGGACCCTCACCCAGGTGACACTGATACGGCTAATCCAGGCCACCCTGGGAGAAAACAGGCCTTAACTAGGCTTCCCCGAGCCCACCAGCAGCCGGTTTCATCTTCCTTCTGATGGTTTTCACTGGTGAGTAGCTGGGAAGCAAGCTCTCTCTGCCCCTCCCAGGACACAGGCTTGTCTGTCTTCCACATGCTTTCTGCATACAAGACTCCTGCGACTTCCCAATGGATTGTTTGTGATGTCACCACCTTTTGCCTCCCCTGCCTCTGTTTCTCCTCTAACCAGGGTGAATGGGCCAGGATGCTGTGGTCCTAGAGGGCTTCTTGACATCTCCAGTATATTTTCCCACAGTGTCCTGGTGTGGCGCTGCAGGATAATGCAATGGACCACAAGGTCGGTTTGAACTACAAGGTCAGCGGTTCAGTCACCAGCCGCTCTATACAGGGTTGCTATGAGTGGGACTTGATGGCACTTAACAACAATTATAGGGAAAGGAGTTCACTTGGCTTTTCCATTTGGAGAGGAAGTGAGATGCCTTCCTCAACTAGGGGTGCCGTCGTACCCAGGGACCCTTATCCTGCCGCTCCAGACTCCCTGGTTGTGCCAGTCTCATGTTCTCAACTGAGGTGGCACTTCAGGCATAAAGAGGGGGTAGAGGTGGCCTTTGAGGAGTAGCACCTCCTTCAACCTAGCCAGCCTCTGAGTCTTGGGCTGGCCGCTCATTTCAGCCTCGTCACGGTGGTGTTGCTACTGTTAGTATAGCTGTAGTGGATCCTGACTCATAGTGACCCCACGTGTGCAGAGCAGAACCGCACTTGCCAGGTGCATCCAGGTGAGTTTGAACCACTGCCCTCTTGGCCAGTATTAGCTGTTTGTGTCACCCGAGGACCTCCCTTGTCAAGAAGCGCAAAGAAATGCCATCCGAGGCAGGTATGCAGACAGAAGGTAAAGGTAGGTATCTTTGGGAAGGAAAAGAGACCCAGGAGAAAACGGCTGGGACCGTCCTCATGGGAAAGGCCAAGGTGCCCAGGAGACTAGAACTTCTTCATTGAAAAGACAGTCTCTCCCCTCAATGCCAGATCTTAAGTGAGGGTGCCTATTCTACAGCCAAGTTTCAAAGGCTCTTTGTGGAACTCAGCAGCCAGCCCACAGCTGCCTCGCAGACGCGCTACAAATGTTCTATTTTGTCATTTGTTTTGTTTCCTGTAAGAATAAAAAGGGAATGAAAACTTCCGTTCCTTAACAGGAAATTCACCCCCTCCCCAGCTCTGCCCCGGCAGCCTCACAGGTTTCTTTAAGTTATAATCAGACGCTGGGGCCGTTTCTACTCCTTGTAAGAGCTTCATTCTTTATTATAAATAAGGCAGCATGAAATACCAAGTGTCTGCAAAGAGCCTTCTGCTTTCTGCTTCACATGCAGCTTTGGTCCAGAAAAGACCCCCGGCTCCCTGCGGGCATCTGTTGTCTGAGTAGAAACAGGAAATCAGAAGGAGGTTTCTCGGTAAACTGTCTTCCGGAAGCGGAGGGGAAAGCCGGGGAGAGTCAGGTATGGCCTTGGCTTCTAAAGTTGCTTCTTGGTTGCTGGGGTTTCGTCCAAGCACAATGGGAAAAGGATAGAGGGGAAAGAAAGGCACGAGTGATAATAAATAAGGAAATTCACCCCCATTCTGGAAATGAATCCCGACAGAAGAAGGGTTCAGTTGTGGCTGTTGTGATGACTCAGTGTAGGTCCATTCCCTGGTATATGGCCACTGCTACAGGGTAGGGAAGGGCAGACACAAGCCCTCGGCCAGCTGACTCCAGCTCACTGAGGGAGAACTTCTGGTGGTATCAATGCCTCTCACAGCTGACTCAGCGCCGTGAATGTACCCTGTCACACAAACTACCTGTCTTCTCAAGTTTTGAGTCCAGGTACACACACTCTGGGGCCAGGGAAAAGCTCTTCTTCAGTTCCTGGGGGGCCCTGAACACCCCTGTTGAATTGGATGCTCTCTGGGGACATGACCAGCTTAAACTCTGGAGGGAGAGGCAGGTTTTAGTGAAGGTGTGTGTTACCGTCTCCTTATGCTTCCAAGGTACCCTGGCCCTCTGTTACCAAGATGATGCTAAGACAGGAATCTCAAAGGGTCAATGAAGCCGAGTGGAGGGGCGTGGGCTCCCAGTCTCCTGACCCACGCCTAGGGATGGAGGGCATAAAAGGGGTCCTGGGGTGTGCCCAAAGCACACCTGTGTCCCTGTGTGGTCTGAGTTCACTGCTGGGCTTTTTGGATCTGGTTTCTGTATGGTGAGTGGAAAAACTGAAGGGCCTGGGGGCCTGTTGACTAGATTTGGGTTCCCCTAGCAGCGCTTGTTTCCAAGCACACCCTAGGACTGGGAAACCCCAGGCTACGGCCTCGCTCGCCTCTCAACTCTGCAGCTTTCTGAACAGGGGCATCAGGGGGCAGACTGTACATAGAAGTCAGCAATGGTGCCAGGCTTGTCCCAGGCTCGGAACCCCTTTCTCTTTCTCGGTTCTCGCCACTCAGCACGTGCCCTCCCCTACCATTCCTCTGTAGAGAGAATAAAGAGGCGTGGAGGCCACTGGGCCAGATGCTGGGTGAGGGGGTAGGAGGAGGACGTGCCCCTGAATTCACAACCATGTAGCCGGAAAGGCAGCCAACTTGAACTCTGCCACCAGGTACCTAGTTCTGTAGAACATGTCTCTGTTCAGTAGCCACTTGGGACCTTGGACCGTTACCAGGTGTTTTCTCCAAGCAGTATAAGAAAGTGGCAGCTGATGGGACCCCAATTGCTCTGCAGGCTGTGAACTCTCATCTCGGTCCCTATTCGTGCTCGGACGGCAGGTGGCCTTCTGGGGAAGACGTGTGAGGTCCCTCTAACACTGGTCCTTGTCAGCATTCTTGCAGCGCTGGACATTCAAGTAAAGACCAGGCAGGTGATGTGAAGTCCACATCTGAATGGTTACTCTAACTCGGTGTCCGTAGACTGCTCTGACATCACCTTGGCCAACGGCGATGATATAAACATTATGTGGCAAAGGAGCAACCCCCAAATCCATGTAACAGCTTCATCAACAGGCCCCAACGGCATAAAAAGCAAACCAGCATCCAGGATGGAATCCCGGTTCCTCTGCTCTCTAGGATCTGGTTTTCCCAGGACGAGCTTGCAGATGCCCCCCGGGGTATGGATGTGATGGGATGCTCTCCGGCCTCCCTTCTGGGTACTGGATGCTCTATAACACGAGAGCTTTTGGGGGCAGGCTGGCATGGTCTGATGGGATATGGAGGGAATACTCGCTAATGAGTGCCGGGACGTTCTTGAGCATCTCGTAGAAGGAGTCCACCGTCTTCCGGTAGAGACTCCGCTGCAGGACAAAGGGCCGGAAGAGGTTGAGAGGCTCCGCCCTGCGGATGGCTTCCGGGAGGCCCATGGCCTCAGGCACCTTGCGGTTGCCAATAAAGAAGTGACAGAGCTTCTTCTCTAGCAGGCTTTTCTCGAGAAAGCGAAGCAATTCCTGGAGACGAGAGTCCAGCTGCTCGGCCTTCCAGTCGGTGGGCTTCCGGACAAGCAGGAGGTGCATCAGGATGGTCTTCAGGTGGTAGCTGCTGAGCCCGCTGGGGCCGGTCAGACGGCTCTGCTTGGCCAGCAGGAAGGAGGCGATCTGCAAGCAGCTGAGATGGCAGGCACCCTCGGGCAGTGCCTTGGATGTCACCCTGAGGAAGTGCCGCTCGTAGATAGCAAAGGACAAGACCCAGTCTGTGCTGGACACCGGGGTCCACTGAGAGGACCCCCTGGGGAGGTGGGAGACAAAGTACAGGTCAGAATCCTCGCACTGGATCACAGGAATCAGGTTGAAGGGCATGAACTTCCCCGAGCGGAACTTGATCTTCAGAGAGCCCGGGGTGTCCAGCTGGCCAAAGGCTAGGTCGAACTCGTACTTGCGGGCAATGCGGTGCCAGGCCCGGGTGAGGGCCTTCTGGAACCACTTCATGACCTGCATGGTGTCCAGGTACGGGGACTCTGCGGCGCACAGCAAGTCCTTCATCCTGCCACCGGGGGGCGCCTTGCCGCTCTTGCCGTGGAGGAGACACAGCATGTCTTCGGGGAGCGTAGTCTTACCGCAGATACAGCCGGGCCTGTCATCGTCTCCCAGGACCACCTTGATTTGCCCATAGCCCTGGCAACCCAGGGGCACCGAGCGGCCGGAACACCAGAGCTCTGGGTGGAAGCGGTACGGCTCCGGGGGCGTGAAGGGCACGAAGAGGTGGCACACCAGCGGCCTGCCAACCTGCCAGTTCTCGTACATGCTGTCCACACCAATGAAGTCCTCTACCTCCATGTCCGTGTCCCGGTTGCAGAGGCTCCTCAGGGCTTCCAGCAAGTCATCCACGAAGCCTTCCACGAACTCCCGGGTGCGCGCGGCATCGGCTGTGGCCCCCCGGATGCAGCGCTCGTAGAAGTGGTCCAGTGTGGCCTTGTCGGGCAGGGTGAGATCACGGAGGGGGGTGCCCCCCAGGCCAGACAGCTCGTCCTCATCCCCACCCGGGCACTCGGGCGACGGCCCGTCCTGGTGGTCCTGCCGCCACACCTCGATCATCAGGAAGAGGACCATGCACAGAGTGCTCCAGAGGTCCCAGGCCGTGCGGGTTTCGTTCTGCTGTTGGCCCTCGGTGACCGCCTGCTCCAGGGCCTCCTTCTCAGCTGCCAGCTGTGCCACCTCCTCCTCCAGGCGCAGCTGCTCCAGCTGTAGCTTCTCCTGGTGAGCCTGCATCTTACGGATGATCTCCTCCTCGTTCTCGGGGACCGTGGCGTTCTCTCGCGGGAACAGCAGCGGGTGGTTGATGATGGCCGTCACCACCACCAGGCATACCCGGAAGAGTCCCAGCGCCATGGTCAGAGCTGTCCTGGAACAGAGAGACTGACAGTCACACCAAACATCTCACAACACCACTTCTTCCTGTACCCTCCCACCCACCTCTATCCACAGGGCTGGTGGGGACCCCACAGTTCTCCAACCCAGCCCATTGTCACCTCCTTGAACCTCCTCGGTGCCTCAGTCTAGCCTGGGGAGAAGGAACCCCAAAGTCTGGGCCTGGCAATCCTAACTCACCCACCCACTGTGATGGGCAGTCTGTCCAGCCACTCCTCTTTCTGGCGGTAGCACCTCATATGGTTTGGGTGGGGAATGAACCTGTCTTCCAGCTCCAAGTTGAGGGTATGACCCAGGCCCAATACCCTGGTCATAGTGATTGGTTCACGGATGAGCACATGATCCAGTTCAAGCCAATGGTAGACAGTCTTAGGATGTGCTAGGACCAATGGGGAGAAGGATTCACCATGTTGCCTAGGGTTGCCAAGAGAGCTCTCAGACCACCATGAAGGGGAGCTTGCCTGAGAAAGATGCCAACGCAAGAAAGCAGAGCCAAGGGCACAGGATACTGTGCCCATCCTGGGGACACTTTCTCAGTCCCTTGGATCCCTGATATGCTTGAATCTATGACCTCTGGACCTATTAATTGTATAAGTCAACATATCCCCCCCTTTTTGTGTGAGCTAGTTCGAGTTGCTTTTCCAGTGCCTAAAACTAATATAGTCATAAATAACACTCCCTCTTCCCCCAAAGAAAAAAATTGTGAGTGCTGTTTTCTCTCAATGCAGCAAAACCAACCAACTGCCACAGAGCTGACCCTGACTCATAGTGACCCTATGTAAGGTTTCTGAGGCTGTAGATCTTTACAGGAGCAGATGGCCTTATCGTCTTTCCATGGAGTGGCTGGTGGGTTTATACCTGCCACCAAGGGTCCTTAGTCAAACCTAATGATCAAGGAAAGGGAGCTGGGTTCCAAAGCCATCCCTGTCACTGTGTGACCATGGGCATGTTAATCCACCTGAGCACCAGTAAGGATCACAATAGGGTCATCGTATTGATGAACGTGGGGGTCCCCCCAGTGAACAGGATACAGCACACACTCACACTGAGAGGTGGAGTTGAGTTCTTACCTCTCCCAGAGGAAACCTCTCCTCACTCCAAATTCACACACAAATTTCCTGGCCTCCCGCTTTTCTCCAGGGTCCAGGACAATCTCAGTGCCAGATTTGTGCCCAACTGGCACAAATGAGCAGGTATTTGCCACCAGGTGAGGACACCTCTGCAGGTAGTTTCTGGCAAGAGGCAAGACACAGGTGGCCTGAGCTAGCTGTGTGACTCAGTGGCTCAGGTGGCTCAGGTGTGACTCAGGCAGCTCCACCCTGTTCACAGCCAGACCTGTCAGCAAGCACGGGACGGGAGTTGAGGGTAGGATAGTGTGCGGAGGATAGGGTGGTCTGGCACCTGTCGAGCTAGTTCACAGTTTGATTCCTCAGGGATGGTTCCACCCAAGAAGGAAACGTGGATCACAGTGAAAGTGGAGGGAGTAGGTTGGAAGGAGGGTGGGGTGAGAAAAAAGTTCAAGGGCAGCTAGCCAGCTGTTCTCCAAGCTAAGCAGCAGCTTGCTAGATAATTGCAGAAACAGACCAGCCCTGGTTTCTACATAAAAGAAACATTAATAGGAATAATTTAAAAAGCCAGGGAGGTTCATGGCCAAACCGGGAGGCTGATCAGAGTTCCAACATACAGGCATGGAGTACCAATAAGGAACATCTAGTTAGGATTCCTGATGTGATGCTTTAGGGTCAGCACTGGACTGCGAACCACAGGATGGCAGTTCAAACCCACCAGTTTCCCCTCAAAAACCCTACATAGGGTCGCTATGAGTCGGAACCAACTCGATGGCATTTAACAACAGCTAGGAGGTAATTTGTGGGTTGGGGGTGCCTTCAGGGCCCCTGCACTACCTTTAAGCACAGTAGGCCCTGACCAGTCACCATAATAGCCCTGGGCAACTCCCAGCCCAGGGAAGCTCCTGTTTCCATGCCAACACAGGGAGTGGTGCCCTCAACACCCAGTAGACTGGGAAATCCTCTGCTTCTCTGCCAGCAGCTCCACCATGTCCTGAGGCCTACTGAGGATGAAGGACTTGTACCAGGCAGCCAAGGTTCAGACTTGAAACTGACTAGAGAGACCAACTCCATGTAAGGCCTTGGGCAAGAGGTTATGAGGACAGACTCTGGAGGAGACAGATAGGGTCATAATCCCAGTCCTTGGATAAATCACTTAACTTCTCTGCACCTCAGCTTCTTCATGTGTGAAATAGAAATAATAATATTCTCACTCCTCACTCGACACTGTTAGCTTCCAAAGACCAGGTCAGTATGAGAAAATCGGTGTTACGCAAAACTGGAGGATAACTACATCATTAATAACTGGCAAACCACTAGGATCATGGTCCAACCCAGCTGATATATAACCTTAACCATCACAGCCAGCGTTGTTCTTGCTTTCCACTTTGGTGTTTGCTGCTGCCAGATGCACGGTGGCTAATGCAGAAAGTAGGCAGTACATTGATTGCTATTGTTGTACATGTAAAATATCGGATAAGTGAGGAGCCGGTTACACCTTCTTCTGTAAGGCTTGAATGAGATGGAGAACCTTAGCAACATGCTTGCCCGGGAACAAGCGCTCTTACAAAAGGGAGGTAACAAAGCACTGGGACTTTGCGGATGAGCCCACTTTGAGGAGCTAGTGATGGAGTAAGCCACACGGACACCCCGACAGGTGCCCTGGCACAGTGACAGCAGAACCAAGCCGACCTGGATTTGAATCTTGACTGACTTTTGCAGAGTGATCTCAGGTGATCTCAGACTCTACTGCTTTATCTGTGAAATGGGGCTCACAACAGCCCTCTTTCATAGGGAGGTTCTAAGGGTAAGCAGGATAATATGGTACACCTTGGGTGCTGGACATAGAACAGATACCCCACAATTATCAGTTCCTTTCTTGTCTGTCTCCACACGCCTGTTTTCTTGCCTGTCAGACCCACCAGCCCTGCCCAAGTCACGGGTGTGGAGGAATGTATCACGCTCAAATGTGCTCTAGCAGCACACAATGGTCCAGTATGTGAGCCAAGATTGTTGCTCTGTGGGGCACCACCCCATCCACCCTGCCCCCCAGCAATGGGGGAGACACCAGCTGAGCTCAGTTTCTTTCTCAACCCAGGAGTTCCCAGCAGGCAGAGCGTGAGGTTCCCTCTGACTCACCTCCTTGCTTAAACCGTCTCCTCCCTCCCAGGAATCAGGTCCCAGCTGAAGGGATGGGCAGAGATGGCCAGATGGGTATGGGAATGGGCCTAGGGTTCTCTGTGCCTGGCAGACAGGGTCAAGTTCAAAACCTCTGCAACTTCCTTTCACCAAACAACACACACACTCCACCCCCTTTCTTCTAATATCAAGCTTGTGCTCTGAGCCTTAGTCCCAAGGTCTCACCTCTACAAGCCTGACAGTAAGTAAGCCCGGCTCACTTCGTGGTGACTAGTTTTGTTTGCAGGAAACATGCTTGAGTTCCTTTCCACCCCTAGCCTTGCCCACAGAGGGGGTGGCCCATGGCTAAATTTAGCCTGCCAAGGACCAAGGTCACAGGGAGCCAGGGTGAAGAAAGTCAGGGTCAGCGATTTTCTCAAGCTCTTACTCCAAAATGGCACCATTAGCGGGTCTCCTCCTGCCTGCCTCCCTGGAGCTCTACAGTAAATTCCCCTGCAGATTAATCAGAGTTGTCTAGTAACAACTAGCTTCCACTCACCAGGAGTGGTGGACACAGTAACTCACTCCACCTCCTAAGAGACAAGGTCACTTTCTAGCACATGGTTGAAGAGTAGTCAGTCTGGGACTCAAGCCCCTTTTGTGTACCTCCACCTACAAAGCCAAGGTTCTTTCCATTGCGCTGTTTTCACAGAGCAGCTACTATGCACAGTGCTGGATACTTCCAGGCCCACAAGGTGAGCAGAGCATAACTGAAGTGATGAACACAGTGAAATCCATGTGAGAGTCTAAATATCATGTAGTAGGCATGTTGTTGTTAAGTGCTGTAGAATCATTTCCAACTCATAGCGATCCTGTATAGGGTTTCTGAGGTATGGCTGGTGACTTTGAACCACCAACCTTGCAGTTGAAACCAACCTTGTGGTCTAGAGCTTTTCCTACAGTACCACACACCAGGACTCCATAGACATAGGGGGTGTATGAATAATTGGCTACAAAAGTGCAGAAAGGGTGCAGAGTTTTCTTCATGTCTCCTGGGGGCCTCACCTTGCCTTTATATCTCCCTTCTGGCTCTACTTGTTGAGGTGGCGTCCGTGTGCAAACCCCTTAGCCCCATGTCCACCTCCTCCCCTTTTTCCAGAGGGAATTTCTACAGTAAATTGGGAACACAGGGCATTTGTGTGCAGCCCCACAACCTGCTCATCGGTACCCTTTCTACCCCTCTCCTCCACACCCTCCCATTTCAATTCACAGGGAGGGTCTGGTAGGAATTCCTCCACAGAACAGGAGGTGATGATGTTTTCATAAACCACCAACATTCATGAAGCAGATACCCAAGCCAGGTAGAACACATGCTCTCTGTATGTGTTAAGACGCACTTATATCGCCCCATCTTACAGATGAAGAGACTGATGGTCACAAGAGGTTCACAGGCTCATCCCTAAGGTTCTCTGGTCTCCAGTGCGTGACTGTGGGGACAGGAACGGCTCCTCGGCTGAGCCTGCCCCTCCCTGTGCTCTCCCTACAGCCCTCCAGAAGGCTGATGAGAAACTGACTGAGTCCTACCACTTCCCACTGCCTGGGTGGCCGGTCCCTCCCTGATACCACTGCTAATGGAGACCACCCAAATCAGCCAGGTGTGCTCTGGGCTCTGGTCCAGATGGTCTGTCTCCCAACCTTCCCAGGTCTTGCATAAGCAGGGCTGTGAGGAAGGACAGATTTCACGAAAAACAGGAACTTGACCTGGCCCTGGATTAG